CCTATAGACGCCTTGTATTGCACAATACCTATTCGACCAACGCAACTCGTGTCCAAGTGCCTTGAGACCATCGCGAACAGGCTTAGGAACGCTGTATGGTGAATTTCTCTCATAGTAGATTATATTAGGAAAGAGCTGATGATGCAGGCGAGGGCGGTCTATTGATTTTTCCAGACTTAATCCAAACCAGAGTTTGTTCATTATTACCTGAAATAAACAATTCAAGTTTAATTATTATACAGCAATTGTGAAAGTTCAATTTTCCTGTTTGCCGATTGGTCAAAACCGTATCATGTGTCGGTCCACAAAACGACATGTTAACTGCATGCATGCTTGGGCAATACACCCTATCGATAATTACGTCACAACTACATTGTTTTCAACTTAGGACCATCTTAAATGGAAAGGATTTCAAGTTTTTTTCTCGAGGACTATTTACAGAGAAGCAGAACATCCTTCTTCAACACATGCATGAAAAAGAATTTTTTTTTACCAATAAATGTGGAAATAATCTTTGACACGAAAACGAGGCTCCAGGTCATGACCTGGAGCCTCGTTCTCGTGTTAATGCTTACTTCCATATTTATTGATCAAAATCCAAAATTTTTTACCGCATGTGTTTAAGTAGGATGTTCTGCTTCAGAAGGATGTTCTGTTATATAAAGCACTCCTGCTCGTGTTTTAAATAGTACATCATCCACTCAAATGTTTACTGAAAATAACAAAGTGGGCGGCACATACTTTTGACGCCTCAGGGCTTTATTTTCGAAAGGCATGACATTTAGGTTAAATAATACTAAATTCCTTACCATGGGTACACCAGATGTGATCCTTAAAGCACCCGATCCTCCCACAACCATCTTTACCGATCCACCCTTATCCACCACAATGGTGGGGCAAGCGGTAGAGACAGAACGTTTTCCTGGCTCGATGTAGTTGGCTTTTGAAGGTTTGGGTTGATAGGACCTGGTTGTGTTGGGTGAAGAGAAGGTACTCATGTGACTATTATAAACTATCCCTGTCCTGTATGAACGAATCTTTGCGCCAAAGCTGTAACAAAATAGTATAACAAACACATTAGTCACAATTCAGCAGCAAACAACATGAAAAAACTTTTTTACGCCAGCAACGTTTCATATCAAATATGTTTCGTTATTCTGGTTAATTATAGGTAAAGATTACGCTTGCAACTCAACGTTTCACACTCGCAGTATAGTGTCTTCACATACAGGGGTGCTTTGAAGTCGTAATGTCGCTTGCTGCAGCATACCCCTGTGTGTGTATATGTATCTGTATCTATATAAGTGAAAACTTTATTTAACCATGTTTGCCAAATCAAGCTATCTACGATAGGTAAGACAATTATAATCCTTATTTGGACCTCTGGGGAAAACAGTTTAGAACTGACAGATCTATCCAGTATAAAAAAGTATTTCATTTGAAAGAGAAACTTACTCTCGTCCAAGGGTGCTTGTGACAGACACAGCATCACCAGTAGGACCAATCACAGATAAATGTGTCGTACCAAAATCTGGCATTGGATCGTAAAATCCTCCATAGTACAAGGGATCGTGTGTGGTGTTGTCCCATATCTTCTGACGTAATTCTTCGGCATAAGTAGCATTGATCTGAAGATCTATACTCTGAAAAAGCCAAAGATACTTTCATAAACTAAACCGGAAAAACAGCACAACCAGTAGCAAACCTGCAACAGATTTGTACCGACACTGTTTCAGCGACTTGTTATCGAGATGGGTGCATGTTCTCAGCTTGTTGAAAATTTGTGAAAGGCTTGTTAATAACCAGTGCCAATGGAACTGTTTCCATGAGGAGGCGCTAATTTCTATAAATTCTCCGGACGTTCATCGGTTCATGATAGATTAAAAAAACATCTGCTATGGTAGCGGTGCAGAGCTAAACTTGGCACACCGCAATTTTGCAACAGGGGACAGGTTGTATAGCTAGACCCCAAAAGGAAACGCTCTTTCGAGCGGCTTGTTTTATATAGTTTTGCAGTTCTGACTGAGTACGATCTTAACCATTACAATGAATGGTGTTACCTGAAGCATATTCAACAGAAATGGGCGGGGGGGGGGGCACACTTAGAGAACTGTTTGCTTAATTATTAAATGCCTTGTTTACAAAATCTGCAAAGAACCTACGTAAATACGTGAAGCTTTGGCGAAGGTATTTATCAAAAAAATGTCTTGCTAAAATCCGGGAAATATGTACATTACCAACCTCTTCAACTTCTGGATGAAAATCCGGGTCACCGAGAAATGGTCGATATGCATAGCCAAACTTGACTGCCTCGATGATACGATGCCATGTTTGTACGACATTGTTGGCGGATATAGAGTCTGGAGTGAACTTGAATCCTAAATAAAGAAAGCATAATTGTGTTGCCATACAAGTTCAAAAAACTGAACTTAAGCTGGTTTTCCACTTCAATCGTATATCGTATCGAAACGTAGCGTATTTCTTTGTTTCCTGAGCGGTAGTGTGGAACTAATGACTTCGACACAAAAGAAAATGCTACGGTACGCTACGATACGGTCGAAGTGGAAAACTGGCTTTAACCGTATACCGAAACTACCGAGTCGAACAGGGACATCCTTTATTGACCTAGTGCACATTACTACAGGAGGAAACCTAAACTTAACTAACTTTAGTAATACTGGATAGCTATATACCCAATTCTTAACTGAACTTCCTCGAGTTCCATTGTAAATTGGTTATCCGGCCTTTCTGGTCCATAGTTGGAAACCAGAGTAATATTCTACAGCGTGAGTAACATTTTTAGGAGGAACTGACCTTTCAAAATGTTCAGTATCATAATCAAGGTAGAGCCGCTCGATGTAGCTGAGGTCGTATACAAAATGTCATCGTTCACAAAGCTCGACAGCACACGTCGTGTTGTTGCTTTAAAATTTTGCAAATCTTCCAAAGACAGTATCCCACCACGGTCCTGAATGTCTTTGACCATTTCTCTGGCAATTGAGCCGTTATAGAAGCTGAAAGGATCCTCTGCAAGCTCTGTCAAGGTTTTCGCAAAAACTGGGTCTGTTATGTTCTCGCTTTCATTCCTTGGTGTTCCATCTTCATGGAAGTAAACTTCTCTTTGTGGACATATTAAAAATGTTAGATTGCACTAAATACTAAGCTACAAATGACTACGAGCAAAATTGGAAACAAGACATAGTACTACATTTTGATACCCTGTTCCTGGAGAATGCGCAAAACAGGTGAATTGTGAGCACGACGACATACATAAATACCAAAGCTTATGAATGCAACTACTTTTAACTCAAGATTATAATGCGTCTCTTGCAACACTTATTGCTACCAAAGAGTTGTTAGATTTTTCCAGAAATGTGATATGTTTTAAACAATTTTAATATTTTTTGTGTCCACTGCAACTATCTATTCGGCCTCCAATGATCAAGCACCTGTATAATGGGAACCACAACAGAAACTTTTATACAATTGGTGGATTTTAAGGATGGTTTAAACTATCAAAGTTTCTGTGATCCCACGCTATTTTCATATGTAAATTCAATTTTTTGAAGGATTTCCAAGACATTTGAGCGAACTGACTTAGTGTTTGACTCTGAGTCAGTTCCCTGAAGGAACTTTGATACTGTAAACTAGCCTTTAATCTGGAGAGAAAAAAAAAAGAAAAAAGAGTTTTTAATGTAAAAGTATACTGACTAAAGATGCAAAGCAAACGTACCTGAAACCTTTTTCTTTAAAGATGCCTTTTGTGGTACTTTTGATAACCTTCGCCAATGGTTCGTCAATTTTGAAACCGTTGCTCGCTAAGTCAATAGTTGGTTGAAAAAGGCGTTTCCATGGTAACCGTCCTTGTGTTTTCCATGCATTGTACATAGCAAGTATTTCTCCTGGCACAGCGACTGACAGTTCACCTAAATAAGAAGAATAAGAGAATGGCATAAATTAAAATTTTCCTGGGCCAGATGTTTACCAGAATTCCGTATAACATGATCCAAGTATCTAATTAAATTTACCGAAGATCTATTCATGAACTTTGCACGCTATACTGGAATGTGTGGTGGAGACATAATGCCCCACCAGTCATCAGTGCTTCCAGTTGTACATATAGATACAATGCACAGTTACCTTAATCCCCCCTGCCTCCAACACTCACCCTTTTTACTCTTCCAACTTCTCTTCACAAACATATCAGGTGTCGATGCACCAGGGGCAGTTTCTCGGAAATCCCAATATGTCGCAGTCTTGGTGGCTCGTTTATACAGCAACATGTACCCTCCGCCACCAATTCCTGAAGAATGGGGATGAATAACACCAAGACAGATCAGTGTTGCTATGGCCGCGTCAATGGCCGTCCCGGCGTCACGGATGACGTCAGCACCGATCTTTGAGCACACTTCGGAATCGGAGGCGACGGCTCCATATAAACCTGAACGTTTCTGGTTCCACGAGTCTGAACAGTACGAGGATTGCGTCAACACCACAGTCACCACTGCCACCACAGCCAAAGTGACAAACTGGAACCTTTTGAAGCTCATGGTTCCTTCTTGGCCTTTATATTAAGTTGTGAACTTGTTTCTTGGAACTAGTAAATCAAAAGACAAGACAAGGTTAGGAAAGAAAAGGTAATATTGTTTGCAACAGTCACTCATTTTATGACGCGAAAAATATCGAATTCGTTTAAAAGTGCCCATGAAAACTAACAGGGAAGAACGTAAGCAATCGTTATGTTGTATGAACAAACATGCGTCCACATAAAAATCTCATTAATATTGCGACAGTGTTACTTTATACATCAAAGTAACTTTAGGCTGCCTTATTCTTGCATACATAATGCATATCGGTATCGGCATATTTTATCCATCTAGTAATTCGAAGGTCGCGGGTTCGAAACACAGCCGCCGCAGGCAACTTTCTCCTTATTATTAGCAGTCAAGGACTGAATTACATCGGTTTACAAGATTAAAAGGATAAAATACAATTAGATTAAGAATTATTATAGTAATAATTACAATAATTACATGGTTAATTATATTATGTTTTACTAATGTTAAAAGCATTACTTCCTGCAATTATGAAACTATTTGCATATCTATTAGTTCTACACCTAGGTATTGATAGTTTGTTATTACCACCACGAAGGGAATATTCTGTATCCCGATTGGAAGGGACAAGGGAATGTGACTTATGTGCTTCGTCAGTACGCATTCGTTCAAAAAATCTCTTACAGATCGTCTCTCTCCGTATGAATAACGACACCACACCGGCGTGGTCCATTGCAATATCATAACAACAATCTAGGAAGATTATTCATAGGGCTCTGCGTTGGATCCTTTCGATCAGATCACTTAAATACTGGGGCAAACTCTGATGCCATACTTCGCACGTGTATTCTAAAATTGGTCTAATGCATGTATTAAACACTCGCACTAACTTGCTTGATGGAATAGAAGATCTCTTTAATAATCGTAGAGCATGCAGACGCTTCGCAGCTTTCTTACAAATAAAATCAACATGAAGAACCCACTTGAGGTCTTCGGAGATGATTAGGACCATAAATCTTCTAGATATTATGGACCATAAATCTTCAAAAAAAATTTCAGAAAAATTCACCGAAGGAAAATATAGATATTGTCAATTTATTGTGAAATTAGACAATAAAAGTGCAAAAGATTAAACGTCATGGTTGCTATGGCAACACAAACACTGTTTTAATTGGTTCATAAATGGACAGCACACAGCTTCTGAACTTTCCTGGAAATGATCATAATTGCCTTGTCTTAAGTGTATCTAATATAAATTCGGTTCAAAGCGAACGATACTCAAAATACCTAGAATTTTAGAGAACTGTAGGGAGCCACCTTAAATTCAGTTATATACCACGCGTATAAGAACCTAGACTTTCCCACAAGTCAATCTTGAACAGCGAGCGGTGAGCGGCCAAGCCGCGAAGCGCGAGATCGAGTTGTCTCGCTTGCTGCAGGAATTTGGGTCTGATTAAAAATTCTGGCGCGAAAATTATTGCAGTTACTTATTACGCATGTAAGTTTCACAAGAGTTGTCGATTTCAGCTCAATTTGTAAATAGACTTTCCTTTGACTTTTCGATCGTAGATCGCCGCTCGGCTCAAATTTGAAAACACAGTAATTTCTAATGACAATAACTGTTAATAACATAAGCGAAAATGCTATAAATTTAGACTAAAATGCCGTATAAATTTACGGTAGGTTTACACTTCTTTCTATGACTATTTTTTCAAGACGATCTTTCTCCAAATTCCATGACACGTTGTGTTTAAGTTGTTTACAATGTGGAAAAGACATGGCAGATGTAGATAAGCGACGCGATTCTTTCTTTGACATAAAAAGACGAATGTTTGCGAAAACATTGAACTATTACAATAATAATTGGAAGAGTTCATTGTAGTAAAACAACACTATTATTAAACATTCTAACAAATGTTGTTTGCCGTTCTTGTAAGGAAAAAAAAATGCCGCTTTAGTTTAGAAAATTAACTCAGTTAAACAACAGTTCGCCTCTGTTGCCAATATTTTATTGCATCTTCGAGAACTAACCATCCTTTGTTTCATTGTTTATTTGTATTAAATAAGTCGAAAGCCTAATTACTGTAACGATATTTGAATAATTAATTCAAATAATTTAAATATGCGCTTCTTATTGGCTAGAATAATGACACACCCCCAGTCACACTCCGGTCAAAAAATCCACCGGTAGATTTGGCACGCTCCAAGGGTGAAAAGCCCTTTCCAGCGTACTTACGAACCGCGAAAAGAACTGGAAAGGACTTTGGGAAAGTCTAATAAGAACCTAGATTTTTCAAGCTAAACAGGTTCTTATATAAATTGTGCTTAAAATCGTGAAATTAGGCTAAACAGGTTCTTAGATAGGTTCTTATATTCTAAAGAAAAAGCGACTCAATTTCGGTTGGTGTAGGTACGGTTATTTTTTGTTGATGTGTTCAAACAGACATGCTGTTTATAGTTATGTCATATCCAGGACTCTGACTTCTGGGTCATTTTCATTGCTTTGTGAAGAGTTTATTTTATTTGATTTATATTAGTTTCAACTCTCACAGTGATAAAAACAAAATAAGGACTTGTTTGAAATTTTAGCCTAAAAAAGTTCTTATAATTAAAAAGGAGGTCTATAAATAAGTAATTTTAGCCTGACAGGTTCTTAAAATCTAGATTATACGCAGTGTCTTTCTGTAAAGCAAACACAGCATAGTCCCAGTCGTTCCGAAGCAAGCGCGAGAAAAAACGTGGATTCCGGATGTAGTACGAGACTGGGACCTAGGTGTGACATCACCGCTAAAGGTGCTTCAGAACGCCTAGCAGATTTCAGCATTTTTAATATGGCGGAAAATTTATAATACAAATAACCTTGTAAATACGACAAATGTCGACAATGTTCGTTGATCATGTTCGATGTCTACATAACCAAATTCAAACTGTATTAAAAATGTGCTCAATTAAAAAAAATTATATACAAATTTACGATACCGAGTCTGTGCAATGGTCGTATAATCGTTGATGTTATTTATATATACTCGCAAGTTGTGATCAACACTAGATCGACCATACTGGTATACACAACTACGCTTTCTACTTGACAGGATTAAGTAGCTGACGAGATTGGAAATATTTGCCTGACATGACTGTGTTGTCAAAACATTTTTAGTCGATGACTCGGCATAATTTTCAAGTTACTAGATAGCAGTTAATATGGCTTTATATTTTAGTAAACACGAGTCATATTTAGCCCGTTAACATTATTCCATTCTGGCCGTATGGTAGCGAAACGTAGCCTATTTCATTGTTCCGACAGCATTAGAGCGAAACTAATGACTTAATTATAAACGCAAAGGAAATTTCCATAACCGATTTTCTATTTACAAATGCGGCATGCTTGGTAACCAGGCCAGGGACCACTTTTTTGAAATCGGGGACCATTTTACCGAAATCTGCTAGGCTCTCTCGCTGAAGCGTTCCGCACAGCACACCCAGGCATAAAACTTTTAAGACTTATTTAAATATATCAAAGCAGCGAATAGAGAGAGAGCCTGGGACTAGGCTGCAGAGACCTTACGATTTTAGAACGGCAACGCGACGGCAACGGCTACCAATACAATAAATAGATCATTGAAAAGAATTGAGTAATTACAATATATGAATAATTTAGCGGACATTGTCCTCGCTCTGTTTGCAACGTCAAATCACAGATTTTCACGTCTTGATACACTACGGCCGCATTCCAAGCCACAACAAGTGCAACTTCAAACTGGGTTAGCAGAACTCTTTCCAACCATAAAACCCATGTCTTCAACTTCTAAAACTGTATTAAATTCATACGATTGATAATATACGACGAACTATATCTTTACTACCATTGATTTGAAGGAGTTTGTTTTGGCCGTCGCCGTCCTAAAATGGTATAAGGTCTCTATCGATACCGTTTGCTATTGGTAGCTGTCGTAGCCCAATTTATATCAACGTATTTTGATGCAAACAATACTTAATTTAAACTATAGGAACCTTTAATTAACAAGAGGCCAGAATATTCCGCCACTTAGCTTAGTTTATAGGCGCAAAATCTAATTATTTAACAATTATTTATCGAGTTTGGGGTGAATAGTGCAAGGATATTCGCCGAAACGCGAAGCGTCGAGGTGTACAAATACAAAGTTAATCCAACTTGGACAGGTTATTAAGATTTTAGTTTTTTGCACCATAGTCTATAAGATATGATGGTCTGAAATCCCGGCAAAGCTTCAAAGTCACAAAATAGAAGACCTTTGTTTGATGTTGAACTGTGCCTCACCGTGTACAAATCCTTTGTCTCAACTTCAATAAATATTGTTCATCGTGGCTGCACGTTTCATCTCAGCTATCCCTATTGGATAGTTACTATGTACAGCTATCCCTATTGGATAAATTATCATGACCTATCCAGCTTCAAAACTCTGTTATTTATTTGTTCTTTGCTGAATTTAGACAAAAGATATAGCAACCGCAGGTAACCCACTTCGTGATTTTAGGTAAAACTTCATGGGCATGTGCACCCCCTCTAATATTATTTTGTATATGCTAAGGAAGCTATGTGTCAAATTTGGCACTTTTGTCACTCCTGTAAACATCGGGCCACTATTTTGCACTAAGAGACCTGACTAATTGTCAAAAGGAACGCAGGCTCGCTAATTGATGACGTAAGGCGTGATATCGCGATTAATTTCATGCTCACGTGGCACAAACTAAGCTTCCTGATTGGACAATTTGAATTTGAGGTATAATATTATAAAATACCACATTTGATGAAGTAAATTAAACTTGCTGATATTTTGAAAAAGGAAAACAATTCCCTCCCCTGTTGATCCTGAAAGGGTCTATTGACCCATACAAGCTTATAATAGAACATTTCGTTATGTAATAGTTAAAATATGATCAGCTGGTCCTTATGAGTATTTACATTAGCATGCTATTAAAACTTAAATTGGTATTGTTAACTTTCATAAAGATCC